CATTGTCGGGATGGACGGAAGTCACCTTAAGTTTGACATGTGATTTACATTATAGTGAGGTCATCATATGACAGGGGCCTAAGCTAGGATGCTAAACAAAAACTGTAATATTAAACCAATCACTTTTGTTGTTTTTACTCTCCTTTTCATTGGCTGTGATGAAAGAACTGTAAAAACAGAAATACACACTGTGTTTAGAATTAAATGTCAGAAGAAAGTTTTTTTTTCTTTGAGTGTGAAACATTTTGGATCCAACTTCTGCAGGAACAGCATCCCACCGACCACAACGCTGAGAAATTTCCACGACAAGCTGAAAGAAGCCACTGGGAAGTGTTTTGTGGATGTAGCTTTCTGGGGAGGTGTGGTTCCTGGAAATCAGGTACAAAAGGCTAAGTTGAATAAAATTAACTTTTTTTTTTCTTGTGCTAGAAGTTGACCAAACAATTCATGTCTTCTTCCAGCATGAACTTCATCCCATGATTAAGGCCGGGGTGGCAGGCTTCAAATGTTTCCTTATTCATAGCGGTGTTGATGAGTTCCCTCATGTGTCTGACTTTGATCTCCACACAGCCATGAGGCAGCTGCAAGGAACAGGAAGTGTCCTGCTGGTAACTTTTTCACCGTTACGTCGTTCACAGCTTTAACCCTCAAGTGATTTTACAAACGCAAATAACCAAACTCACTAAATTTATCATACATATGGCATGAGAGACTGTTGACCAACACTAGGAGGCACAGTCACATCACACTTGTTCATTGGCTCACAGTTTGTTTAAGGCTTGATTTTAAACTTTTAATGTCTGTTTTTAAAGCTATTCATGGTATTGCACCTTATTTGTGTGATCTTTTACAAGCACATTGTCCAGTTAAAGCTCTTTGGCCTGCTGACCAACATCTTTTGGAAGTCTCTAGACTAGATCAAAGTCCAAACAGTGGGGTGATCATTAATACGCTGTAGCTGGTCCAAAATTATGGCATTCATTAGCATACGATCAATAACCTATTGTTGTTCAAAGCTAAGCTGAAGGCACCTTTGATTAGAACTGCTTTTAGCACACAGTAGTTCACTGTTATTCTTCTACCAGTGTTGTTGGTTTTTATTCTTTATTTTTTTATTACTGAACTAATGTAAAGTACTTCGGTTCAGTAAGTCACTGTTATAAAGTGCTTTATAAACAAAATTTGATTGATTCATTGATCGATTGATTGACGAGAGGCATTGACATCAGATTGTGCATTATTTGAGTTACTCCCATTTTCCTTATGTACAGCAATCTGACAGACTTTTTTCAAATGTCTTGTTTTCAAAAACTCAGCTTCTAATTTATTTTATGTCTCACAGCCTGTAGAACATAAATAAAACGAATAAATAAACTTAAATAATCATCTCCCTACCTGCTCTGCCATTGAAAATAGGTAGAAATAAGTTCTCCCTGTCCTCCCTCCCTGTTCCTCTTCGCTGCTTGATGTGTCTCAAGTTTTGGAACAGCATCACAGTCAGATTATGGACTTATATCGTCATCTCTTGGTTCTGACACATCTCCAACATTTTCAGCATCACTTTGAACATCAAGCGTTCATCTCAGAGCATCCAGGTCATTCAGCCAATGATTTGCTAGAATCAGAAAACTTTAGTTTTTAAAAGCTGAACATCACAATAAAATCTAATTCTAAAATCTATAACAAAATTAGACAATTGCTTACATAAATGCCACACCAGTTGGAAGATCCTTGTAAAAAAATGATGACTAATTGTAGGAATCACTGTTTAGATAATAAATATTGTACAATACATTTTGGGTTAATAAATGATGTCACTCGGTCACTTGATTAATAAACATCCGGTCTAAGCTGTGCTGTGAACTAAAGTTTGTGTTTTTGTCTCCTCTAGTTTCATGCAGAAATAGATGTTCACCCAACAGCAGAGGAGATTGGTGGTAACAGTTTACACAATTCTTTGTTTCTTTCAAATATTATGGTTAGAAATATATAAATACGTATATATATATATTATGTGTGTGTG